TATATAAACACCAGTAATAATAATAATAATAAAGGAGGACTTACTGCTGGACAGAAACCTGTAGTTCACCATGATTACAGTTGTCCTCTCCTGGTTATAGATGGTCAGATCCAAATAGATTGTTGGATGGTTAGTTCCTCCTGGACATCAAGCGTAGTGTAGTGGAAAGGAGTACGGAAGCAGCAGGTGTGCAAGGCACAGAGCACAGAATGCTATGGAAACTTGTTACTGAACGCATGCTCAAAGAATCTGTTACTAGGTTTCGCTTTGCACACCCAGAGTGACAGGTCTGACTGCTTTTTTTACACATGCATTTGGTGACAAAAGACTGGGGCCAGCTGTCAGGGAGAAGTTATCATTCTGGTTGGGAAATAAGCAGTGGATCCAGTTTGGGACACTCCTATTCTTGTGTTTGAGGTTTATTTTAATATAAGAAAGGTGAATCCTTAAAAAGAATAAAAATAAATTACAAGCCAAACAGGTTTGGTTCCGTGACCTTTTGTTGCTAATTATCTTACTGTTAACTGCCAAGCGTTGAGATTAGGATCTGATTTGCAATTCGCCTACTTGCTAAAAAGCAATCACTGTGTCAGACTAGGAAGTGTTTGCTAATATTGGTGTTACAGTTCCGAGACAAATGTTTTTCGATTGTTATTCATAAACTTGATTTATCAGGACCCCTGTTTAGCAGGTTTAGTGTTCTCACAAACTGACAACAATTATATATTGTTTTTAAGGCTAAATAGAACTGTCATTGATAAATAAATAAACATTTTTTATTTGACACTTTGGACATGGGTTGATCAAGGATACAACAAATTATATTCCTTTAACTTTGAAAACTTTAATTTAGGTTCTTAATGGCCGTTGCTCCTGTCCTAGAGCTATGAGGCAAATCTAAAAAAGAATATTTCATATTACTGTTTATAACGAATTCTAAATGGCAACATAAAGACATTTTCATACTTAACTCTTCAGAGAAATATAAACACACCCATGCACTTATATACAGCTGGGGAACACATATAAAGTCATTCATATATAGACAAACATATATAAAAAACATAGACACACTAACACAGGGATACAAAGACTAATATGCAAACTCCCCAATGCACGTAGACATGCATATAAACACACAGGCACTGAAGGGGTTAACTGCTGGAATGCAGAAGGTTAATCAGGGCAGTTGGAGTAAAATGTAGCAGGTCAATAAACCAGTACTAAAACTGATAAGCACATGAGCCACATTATACAGGGATTATACATTTGAATAGGGATGTTGCTGGAACACAACTGGTTAATAATTTTACTCCTGCAGCCAGGAGAGGGATAATCTCTGTAACAGTTTTACAGAGGGGTCAAAGTAACTTTCACCCCCCCAGGAGGGATAAGGTCTATTAATCATAATATATTGTGTATTCTCTGTGTTCCAGGTTGCAGCTCATGTCCAGCAGCAGTAAAGTGTAAAGGCCTGGGGGCTCCGTGTCCTGGGGCTGTGCCAATTACACCTCCTGTTTCGGTAGGCCTGCAGCTTTTTCCCTCCATCACATGTATGGCAGACCATGCGAGTGACCCACCACCGCCCATATGACCAGAGCTGGATTCTAAAGGGATCCATTATTGTGGACCAGTCCAGCCCTGTCAGGAGGAGCACTAGGCCTCTGTCTGAGCCCTGGCTCTAGGCGGCTGCCTATGACATTTTATGGGTAATCAGGCTGATACCAGAGCTTTCTATTCACAAAAAAACTGTGGGAATTTACCCATTAAGCTAAAGATAATTTGTAACTGCCCAATCATCTTCTCACATATCTGCCAAGTGTCCCTATTTAGGAGGTGCATTCCCTGTTTTGGGCTTAAATCCATCTGTCGGTCTTTTCTAGTGGCTCCATATTGTTGGTGTGTCTGATTGTATAACAGAAACCCACAACAATAATACTCCCAGTAATGTGTCTGAGTGTATAACAGAAACCCACAGCATTAATACTCCCAGTAATGTGTCTGAGTGTATAACAGAGCTCCACAGCAATAATACTCCCAGTAATGTGTCTGAGTGTATAACTGAGCTCCACAGCAATAATACTCCCAGTAATGTGTCTGAGTGTATAAAAGAGCTCCACAGCAATAATACTCCCAGTAATGTGTCTGAGTGTATAACAGAGCTCCACAGCAATAATACTCCCAATAATGTGTCTGAGTGTATAACAGAGCTCCACAGCAATAATACTCCCAGTAATGTGTCTGAGTGTATAACAGAGCTCCACAGCAATAAAACTCCCAGCAATGTGTCTGAGTGTATAACAGAGCTCCACAGTAATAATACTCCCAGTAATGTGTCTGAGTGTATAACAGAGCTCCACAGCAATAAAACTCCCAGTAATGTGTCTTTAACCCTTTAAGACCGCAGCCAAATGTACAAGTTGTGATCAAAACAAAACGTAAACAAAACCTGGCATTTGCGCTGTATGTCTGTCCATCCGTAATTCACCTCTTTCATATTAAATGCACCCACACTTATTATATATCATTTTATTCAGGGGAGTCAGGGCTTTCATTTAACATCAAATATTTAGGTATGGAACATAATTTAATATGAAAAAAATATTTTAAAAAAAGGGATAAAATCATTTTTTAAAAATGTTTAGTTCTATGTGACATTTTAACTGTGAATGTCAAAATACTGTTTGCTTTAACTGGAGTAACATACACATATTTGTATTCAGCGATGTCTCACGTGTAAAACAGTACCCCCTATGTACAGGTTTTATGGTGTTTTGGGAAGTTACAGGGTCAAATATAGCGTGTTACATATTTCATTTTTTTCACATTGAAATTTGCCAGATTGGTTACGTTGCCTTTGAGACCATATGGTAGCCCAGGAATAAGAATTACCCCCATAATGGCATACCATTTGCAAAAGTAGACAACCCAAGGTATTGCAAATGGAGTATGTCCAGTCTTTTTTAGTAGCCACGTGGTCACAAACACTGGCCAAATTAGTGTTAATATTTGAAAATACAAAAAACTAATTTGAACTCAAATTTTGGCCACTGTTTGTGACTAAGTGGCTACTAAAAAAGACTGAACATACCCCATTTGAAATACCCTTGGTTGTCTACTATTGCAAATGGTAAGCCATCAAGGGGGTAATTTTCATTCCTGGGCTACCGTATGGTCTCAAAGGCAACCTGGCGAATTTTAATGTGAAAAAACTGAATCGCAAGCCTTATATTTGACTCTGTAACTTTTGAAAACACCATAAAACCTGTACATGAGGGGTACTGTTATACTCGGGACAGGGGTCAAGTCCTGGGGAAAAAAGTGTGGGAACTCACCCAAGATTCCCGCCTCCGCCCCTCCCCCCCCCCCCCCCTTAAAAAAAAATAAATTAAAAAATTACACTCCTATGCATATAGTGCAGTGCAGGGTGTGTATAATGAATGTAGTGTGTTTGTAGTGAATGCAGAGTATGAATAATAAATGTAGTGTGTTTGTAGTGAGTGCAGTGTGAATAATAATTGTAGTGTATTTGTAGTGAGTGCAGTGTGTGTATAATGAATGTAATGTGTTTGTAGTTAAAGGACCACTATAGTGCCAGGAAAACATACTCGTTTTCCTGGCACTATAGTGCCCTGAGGGTGCCCCCACCCTCAGGGACCCCCTCCCGCCCGGCTCTGGAAGGGGGAAAGGGTTAAAAACTTACCTTTTTCCAGCGCTGGGCGGAGAGCTCTCCTCCTTCTCTCCTCCTCCTGGGCTGAATGCGCACGCGCGGCAAGAGCTGCGCGCGCATTCAGCCCGTCGCATAGGAAAGCATTTACAATGCTTTCCTATGGACGCTTGCGTGCTCTCACTGTGAAAAATCACAGTGAGAAGCACGCAAGCGCCTCTAGTGGCTGTCAATGAGACAGCCACTAGAGGATTAGGGGGAAGGCTTAACCCATTCATAAACATAGCAGTTTCTCTGAAACTGCTATGTTTATAAAAAAATGGGTTAACCCTAGAAGGACCTGGCACCCAGACCACTTCATTAAGCTGAAGTGGTCTGGGTGCCTAGATTGGTCCTTTAAGTGCAAATTGTGTATAATGAATTTAGTGTGTTTGTAGTGAGTGCAGAGTGTGTACAATGAATGCAGTGTATGTAGTGTGTTTGTAGTGAATGCAGAGTGTGTATAGTGAATGTAGTGTGTAGTGAGTGCAGAATGTGTATAATGAATGCAGAGTGTGTATAGTGAATGCAGAGGGTGTATAGTGAATGTAGTGTGTTTGTAGTGAGTGTATAGTGAATGTAGTGTGTTTGTAGTGAGTGTATAGTGAATGTAGTGTGTTTGTAGTGAGTGAAGAGTGTGTATAATGAATGCAGTGTGTGTGAGTGCAGGATGATGTGTGTGTGAGTGCAGGATGATGTGTGTGTGAGTGCAGGATGATGTGTGTGTGAGTGCAGGATGATGTGTGTGTGTGAGTGCTGGATGATGTGTGTGTGTGAGTGCTGGATGATGTGTGTGTGAGTGCGCTGGATGATGTGTGTGTGTGAGTGCTGGATGATGTGTGTGTGTGTGTGAGTGCTGGATGGTGTGTGTGTGTGTGTCCTGGATTATATGTGTGTGTGTGCTGGATGATGTGTGTGTGAGTGCTGGATGATGTGTGTGTGAGTGCTGGATGATGTGCGTGTGAGTGGTGGATGATGTGCGTGTAAGTGCTGGATGATGTGCGTGTGAGTGCTGGATGGTGTGGTGTGGGTGCTGTGGTGTGTGTGTGTGTGTGTGTGGGTGCTGGATGGTGTGGGTGTGTGGGTGCTGGATGGTGTGTGTGTGGGTGCTGGATGGTGTGTGTGTGTGCTGGGTTGTGTGTGTGTGGGTGCTGGATGATGTGTGTGGAGTGCTGGATGATGGGTGTGTTGGGTGCTGGATGGTGTGTGTGTGTGTGCTGGATGGTGTGTGTGGGGTGCTGGATGGTGTGTGGATGGTGGGTGTGTGTGTGCTGGATGGGTGTGTGGTTGCTGGATGGGTGTGTGTGAGTGCTGGATGATGGGTGAGTGCTGGATGATGTGTGTGTGAGTGCTGGATGATGTGTGTGTGTGTGCTGGATGGTGGGTGTGTGTGTGCTGGATGATGGGTGTGTGTGTGCTGGATGATGGGTGTGTGTGTGCTGGATGGTGGGTGTGTGAGTGCTGGATGGTGGGTGTGTGAGTGCTGGATGATGGGTGTGTGAGTGCTGGATGATGGGTGTGTGTGTGCTGGATGATGGGTGTGTGTGTGCTGGATGATGGGTGTGTGTGTGCTGGATGAGTGCTGGATGTGGGTGTGTGTGTGCTGGATGATGGGTGTGTGTGTGCTGGATGATGGGTGTGTGTGTGCTGGATGATGGGTGTGTGAGTGCTGGATGATGGGTTTGTGAGTGCTGGATGATGGGTGTGTGTGTGCTGGATGATGTGTGTGTGCTGGATGGTGGGTGTGTGAGTGCTGGATGATGGGTGTGTGTGTGCTGGATGATGTGTGATGTGTGTGTGTGCTGGATGATGGGTGTGTGAGTGCTGGATGATGGGTGTGTGTGTGAGTGCTGGATGATGTGTGTGGGGGGGGGGAGCATTTTTTTCTTACTTTATGTGTATGTATATTTGTTTATTTTATTCCCCCCTCCCTGCTTCTTACCTTGTCAGGGAGGGGGGAGATCGCCTGGTGGTCCGGGTGGAGGGAGCCAGCCGCTGCACAGAGGGGCCATCACACGCTGTGTTCCCTCTCCAGCTCTAACTCTCGCGAGACTCGCCTGTGCGGAGCGTTGCCATGGTAACAGCCGCGGGTCTCGCGAGATTTATAGCTGGAGAAGGAACACAGCGTGTGATGGCCCCTCTGTGCAGGTAGCAGGGCCGGTCCTGCAGGACAGGTAACGGGAACGGCGTTCCTGCTGTGGAAAAAGTGCAGGAACGCAGTTCCCATGCGTTCCTGCAGGACTCGAGCCCTGACTCGGGAGACTTCGCTGAACACAAATATTAGTGTTTCAAAACAGTAAAACGTATCACAACAATTATATCGTCAGTGTAAGTGCCATTTGTGTGTGAAAAATGCAAAAAATGTCACTGTCACTGACGATATCGTCTTTGTAATACATTTTACTGTTTTGAAACACTAATATTTGTGTTCAGCGAAGTCTTCCGAGTAAAACAGTACCCCCCATGTACAGGTTTTATGGTGTCTTGGAAAGTTACAGTGTTAAATATAGTGCTAGAAAATTAAATTCCCTGAACTTTTGGCCTGGGTTGTCAGGCAGGTCCTGCAAATTGTAATAAATAAAATGACCTAATTATGTAAAATTATTACATAAATATATCCGTAGAATTATTATATATTCATGTGTGTATATATGTATATAATTTTTTTAATTATTTTTATTTATGTATAGGTATATATATAGTGATATATACATATATACTTATGTATATAGATATATATATTATTTCGTTCTACATGTATTTTAATATCAATATATATATATATATTAATTTTAAAATACAGTTAGAACGAAATTACGCATGTATATATATTTTTTATCTATTTATTTTTTATTATATATAAATATATATATATAATGAAAATGATATATATATATTTAATCAATATCATTGTACGTGTATTTTGATATATATATAGATATATATAATTATGTATATATTAATATTAAACTACACGTCGACAGTGTATGTGTATTTATGTGTATGTGTGTATATGTGTATATATATATACTTAGATCATATACATAATAAAAATATATATGATCTAAGTATATATTATTTAATTTTACATGGTTTTAACATCTTTTAATTTTATTTCCAGACAGCAGGGGGAGTACCTGTCATTACAGGCAGCTCCCCCTGCTGGCACTGCCTTGGACGGTCCTCGCAAGGACCTCGCTATCACATGGCCCAGGGGGGCCGAAGAGGACGGAGGGGGACTCCCTGGGCTCCCAGGTAAGTCCCCATACCTCGATCGCCGGCGTGGGATCGCCGGCGACCGGGTAAGTACAAAAGATCACAGGGCGTTCTATGCCGCCCTGCGCCGTTTAGAGCCATCTAAATAAGGACGGCATAGAACGCCCTGCGGTCTTAAGGGGTTAAACTAAAATAAATGTGTTCAGAAATCAGTCTGTGTAAATAAGATACATTGTTCTTGTTCTAAATTTTAATTAGTAGGTCACCTAAAATGTCTCACACCCCTAAAATTAAAATGTTCTCTTTGCCCATTTGAAATGTTTAGGGGTATGTACAAATGAGGGATCTAGTTAAAGGGATTCTATAATGCCAGGAAAACAAAACTCGCTTTTTCCTGACACTATAGGCTCCTGCAGTGCCCCCCTCCCGTGGTGCTGAAGGGGTTAAAACACCTTCAGTCACTTATCTGGTCAGGCTTCACCCGCGCTTCTCCCCCACCGACATCAGCCGGTTGTGGTGGGGGGAGGAGGAAAACTGTCTTTGGACCCAGGAAGTGCAATTTCAGACCTGAGTACATTGCTGTACATCTGGTGGAAATATCACAACATCAATATTTCTGGTCTCAAATTCACACAGTGTTTCAAAGTATATATGTTTGAATATCCCTTTCACCATAACTCTATTGACCCAAATTCCCTCTTTTTCCTTATCAAAGCGATACAGATGCAGCATGTGATAACATTTGATTCATGTTGAAATCTTGGGGTGATTATACAATTGATCCCCATGAGGAACGTCAATTATTTGATCTTAGCTGTTCCCTTTGTGGTTGAAGTTCAGTTAGGGGCAAATAACAGTTACCTCGTAACAATGTTTTAAAGTATGTACACGCCTTTTCTGTTCTGTATCCCTCATTGCTTGTTTTATGTACCTGTTTCCCAAACAAAAACTTATATAATACAATATTTGGTATTCAGGGTCTCTAATTGTATTGAAGAGTAAAGTTTTTTCATTATTAACTTAATATTATGTTTTCCAGTGCGCAGCTACAAAAAAAATAACACTTTAAATTTTGATTATTCACTAATTGCTGTATTGGATTCATAGATTCTATGAAATCTATTGTATTGAAACAAAATGGCAAATCAAATATTTTGATAGGCTAATGTGGGTGCTTGTTCAGTAAATTGCAGCAAAGGTGCTTATTTGATACACATTTGGTAACTTTTAACATATTATTGATATGGGGTCTGCAGACTCCCCTCTCCAATAATGAGGATAAGTCTGATACAGACCAGCCAAGAGAGCGCTATTTGGTAGATTTGTTCCCACGAACTTGGGGAACAAATTCTACCTATGAGCCAGGGGAACCGTTTGTGGATTTATTGGTTTTTTTTTTTACTTTTCGAAATAGACCGACCACACAGCCCAATTTCATGGAACTATTTCTGGGCAGGAGCATCGTGTACGGGCGGTCAAATTAAGACCTCCATGTAACTCTTAAATCTCTGAACCGATCTCGGTGATTTTTAAATATGTTGGGCTCCCAGGGGATATGACTTGTGTGGGGTTCCCATGGAGTTTGGGATACTGTATGTTTTTTGTGTTGGGATATAGTTGAGTTTAGTGTAGTGCTTGACTCAATTATCTCCCCAGTACAGGGGACGGATTATATTATAATTAGTAGGAGTGTCCTGGACCTGAGAGCCAATGTACTTGCAGAATGTATTTTGTCACTGTATCCTCTCAGGTCCAGTGGGGAATGCCCCTGGAATATATCAACGTAAACCCTGTATATTGTTAACTGCATATAAACCAGGCGGTTAGCCTGAATAAAGCATTCCTGTTATACCCTTAATCTAGTTCCGACTGATGCTTGAGTATCTGTCTACTTTTCTGGGAGAATATACTTTGATGCTGTAATTCATCTGGAGAAACGTTTGACTCAACACCCAAAAATAGGCGCACGGGTATCTGTAATACCAGCTTAGAGTACAACAGTATTTTAGTTAATAATTGGAGTAGGAGGGCAGCTGTGACTGCTCAGTCTATGCTGCTCTACACAATAGCTCATATTATAGGGCTTAATATACAGGTATAAATCAAAGGTCCAGATAAAACCTTTTTTAAATATTCCATAATTCCATAATTTCAAATATATGAAGAGGGACACTACAATCTTAGGGGTATGGCTGGAGGTGTGAACAGGGCCAGGGCTCTTCTGAGAAATTTTAGGTAACTTACTAATAACTTATAAAACAAAAATGTAATTTAGAACAAGAACAATGTATCTGATTTACACATATTGATTTCTAAAGACATTTATTGTAGCTTAAAGCAGTGTTTCCCAATTGGTGGTACAAACAAAAATGGGGTTCCGCCAAAATATCTGGAAACAAAATGGCCACGAGTGGTGAGGGAGCAGGGGGCAGTGAGTGTCTTCACTCCGGCATCACTAAGTGGCGCGCGAGGGAGCTGAGCAGGGAGATCACTGCTCCTTCGCCGCCCGCACGCCAGCCGCTCAGCAGCCCTGGACCCCAGGGACAGCACGCCAGCCGCTCAGCAGCCCCACTTGATCCCAGGGACCGCAGGCTCAGCCCAGCAGCCCCACAGGACCACTCCCAAAGGCAGGGAGGCTGGTTGGAGTAAATTTTTTTACAAAATTATACATTTTATATGTGTCTGTTAGGGAGTGTGTATGTGTGTTTGACAGTGAGAATGCATGTGTGCTTGTCAGTCGGAGTGTATATGTGTTTGTATGTGTGTCTGTAAAAGAGTATGTGTGTTTGT